AGGGAGAACTAAAAGAGACAGACGCACACATGAAGTCATGCTGGAAAAACATCATGGCAACCGCAGGGATGAGGATGAGAGCGCAGACCATCACTCACTCGAGTCGTCGGAGTCGTATGCCTCCACATCGGGCTCCTCGTCCCTCTTGGCGGCCTGCGGGGAGGCGGAGGCTCCGGCAAAAGCCCGGTCCGGGGTGTCCTCATTGGGTCGGTCACTTTCGCCAGTGGCGGCGCCCGAGGAGGTGGAGAGGGCAGAGCGCAGGGGCCCCGCTTGGTGGGGCGCAGCGGGGGGGAGGCCCCGTGGGTAGCGGGGGAAGTAGTCTGAGATCTGCTTGATGGGCTGGATGGGGCCAGGGCACACGTCAATGGCCATGTGCTCCTGGATGCTGATGGTGGGTTTCTCGCCTTTGCGTTGTGTCATGCATGCGGTCCAGCCCGGAGCCTTCTCCCCAAACCAGAAAAACTGAGAAAATTAAAAATTAAAAAAAAAGGAGCAGACCCAAACCCCTCGTCCTCCTCGTCCTCCTCTTGCTGCTCTGGGAGTCGTCCTGGGCGGGTGCTGGTCCAGGTGATCTGTGGATGTCACCACACTGGTCTACATGAGATCTGGAGGCTGCTGCTGCTGCTGCTGCTGCTGCTGCTGCTGCGTCTCCCAGTGTTTGTCCTCAGACCCAGACCATGCTGTCTGACAGCCTCACACACACACGCACACACACACTCACACACTACTACCTACCCTCTCTCCTCTGCCTGTGCACCCCTACACTGCCCACGTCTGCGCTGCCTGTGAGAGAGAGAGAGAGCAGACAGAGTAGAGTGAGTGAGTGTGTGTGTGTGTGAGTGTGTGTGTGAGCGAGAGGGATTAGAGAGGAAGGAGGGGAGGGATCAGCTGATGTCACTGCCTAGCAACCGAGTGGTAAACAGGAACCGTCGGCTGGGCTGCGTAATTATGATATTAACTCCATCCATCTGTCAGTGGGTGGGAAGACGCAGCGACGGCACCAGAATCGAGCAAACGCGTTAGAGAGTGTGTGTGTGTGAGTGTGTGTGTGTGTGTGTGTGTGTGTGTGTCTGCTGCTTTAAAAACGTGGACAACGAACCGATGCTTTGTGTTTGTGATTCACCCGCATGCTATTATAGTTTTATTTTGAAAACACTGGTGGAATCTACCACAGATTTTAATTTTGCACAAATTAAACTGAAATTTGTCAAAAAGATAAAAAGTTCAGGGGGGGGGGGGGGGGGGGGGGGCACCCAGGGCGAAATCACCCCAGGGCCCCAAAAAAAGCTAATGCCACACCTGCATTTAATAACACAACAAACATCCAATTAAACATCTGATTGAGAATTTCCTCATTTATTCATTATTTGTTCTTAATTAATCTTTTTATTGTATTTACTTCTTAGATTTTGTCCAGTTGATATTTAACAAGCTGCAATTTATTCTGAAAAATGTTGATATTTATTCTTATTACATAAATTTACTGTTTTTATCGTCTTGATTTTTCATTTGTGCTTTAAAATGAATTGTGCTTCAGTTCTCAGTTTACTAAATATCCTGTAGAACGTGTTTAACATCACATTAGAACATGTCCGGATACTGAAGCCGCTCCGTCACCAACAGTTCTCTCCTGCAGCTTTGAATCTACAACTATAACTTTATTTAAATTCACAATATGTCAAAGTTGATTTTTTTTCCCCCTGAAGCAAACAATGAAATCCTCAACGCTCCTCCTGCAACAGACATTGGACAACAGAGCGCCTCCTCACCTCCGTCATCTCACTCACAGACAGTCAACAGATGGTGCAGCGCCCTCTAGTGTTAGCCAGGAACAGGTTACAGCTCGGGGGGCAGATTGAAATTCAGGGGCTGTGCTCGTGCAGGTGGTTTTTATTAGTTTCATAACATAATTGGATTCAAGATGAAGAACTGTGATGACCTCGGAGCGGCTCTCTGCTGTTCTCTGGTACCTGCCGCTCTTCCCTCGATCCATTCCGAGCGCATCGGGAACACACACATCATCTGTGCGTCGTGAAGCAGCAGGAAGATGCTTAACATCGCTGCCTCGGAGATTTCTAAAGAAAATCACCTCTCTGAACAGGTGGCCTCAGGTTCCTCTTCGAGGCTTCGCCATGGGAAACAAGCCGATGGTCTCCTGCTTCCTTTCTGTTCCTGATCCTGAAATACCAATTAAATCCAACGAGTTCATTAAAGAAGTATTTGCTTTTGAATCAGTTTGAGGAAATCAAATATTTTTACAACAACAAGTCTGGAAAGTGTTATTTAGGCGGTTTCTTGTGATCATCAAACCAGAGGCCGAGCCTTTGTCCACTTTATTACAGTTTCATCATGTCTTTTTTATGAGTTTGAAGATTAAGAGCTTGTCGTTGTTCACTGACTGCTCGGTAATAATGCACCGAGAGGTGTGTGCAGCGCGGGACTCTGGGATATTTAAAGTAGCCGTCCCTTAATCCCCGGACACGCCGAGGCAATTATCTGAAATAATCAGCGCGAGGAGACAACAGTAAACACCAGGTCGACCTTTCTATGAAAACACAAAACGGATAAATCCCCAACAGCTTCAGCAGCGACGACACCGAGACGACGAGGGCGACTAATTCACACTGAGGTCACGGTGTGAACACGGAGGAGTTGGAAGCTAATTAGCTCCTGGAGGTGGTGGAGACTCAAAACAGAGCAAGAAGAAAGGGATTATATTATTTTATTATATTATTATAT